GGTGCGCGCCCGGGATCCGAACCCGGGCCGCCAGCAGCAGAGCGCGCACACTTAACTGCTAAGCCATGGGGCCGGCCCGATGCTTTTTAAGGACAGTTTTAATTATGCTCCATGTTAAATACCTTGCAATGAATAAGTTATTTGAAAAGTTCTTAAAAAGAATTGCTGACAGAAAGAAAGAGAGAAAGAAGAAAAAGGAAGGAAGGGAGAGAGAAAGGGAGAAAGAATAAAGGGAGGGTCAAGGAATTTGCCTCAATCACTTTGCCCTTTCTTCTTTTTCTTTTCCCTTTATGCAAGAGAAATCTATTACTACTCAACCTCTACTATAAGATTGGCAGCCCTGAAAACTCTTTTACTGTGGCATGTTATGGATATATCCCTGCTCCTAAAGGAATGAGGAGGAGACATTTCCACATGCAACTCAATCACTTTTAAAATCATATCTACTGTTATCACTGCCTGGATGCATGCAATGACTGGTACATATTTCTTCTAGTCATAAGAATAAAATATCGAGAAGGTATTTATTTATAAGAATAAATACCAGTAGCTATCCTGGAAGAGTCCTTTGGAGTCAATCTCCTTGGACAACAGAAGGTTTTCTACTACATACAACGTCTATTTTTATTATGAAAGCTTGTGAGCTTTGTAAATTCTTCAAAGCTTAAGTTCTCATTTTTCACGGTAGTGCCCTTTCCCAATTATTCCACACACTGGGACATCAGAGCTAGTATTGTTAAACAGATCATTAAAATGACAGAACAGGTCCTTACACCTGACTAAGTTAGTCCTGAGTGTAAATTAGGTGCTTTGGGACATGCACAATCTTCTGGATCACTAGGGTCATATTACTGCACTGAAGCACAGGAAATTTACTAACTCTGGTAAAATCTGAGCTGGTGGTTAAAAACTGATGGAGAGCTTGGTACTCCTGATAGAGGGTTCTTAATATCTGTCTTCAGAATGCCACTTTTCCAATTTGGGGATAAGCAGCTTAAATAAACATTTGTATTTATGCTTTATTTCCACTAATATACTTTGGAGAAAATGTTTCACTTAGATTAAAGAAACACCAAGGGTAAGACAATTCATATGGAAAATACTCTATTTACCTCTATTAAAAAACAAACTGCATTGTTTTTCTACTCAATTTTCAAATATAAAAGAACTTTCTTAAACATTTATTAAGCACTGTCAGCCTTAATACCCTCAATGTTTAGAAATCAATGAATATTTTTGAACGGTACTATGTACAAAGCATTGTCCTGCTGAATTCATCCAAATCTTGTACTATTAATTTATATAATTTATTAGTTCTCCCTTAATGAATTTGACTGGTATAGGTCAAGAGAAATAGCCAAGGATATTTTAGAAACGGAACTTTGATCTTCTCAAGGTCATTAATAATGTTATCTAAAATAACAACTTTGGGTAAATAAAATGTGTTCATAAAATACTACACATGTTGCAGGAACCAAACAGGACATAATCAAACAGGTACAATCTGCTTTTACCTCACCACTGATTCACTTTGAAAGTAGCTTTGCAGTCTACACTTCAAACACAGAAGCTAGTATCTCTTGATATCAGATTATAAACACAATGCCTATATTATCAAAGAGTTCACTGCCTCCAAATATCTGAATTGTCTGTTAAAGAAATATTGAGTTTCTTTATTATTACTCTAAAATAATACTGAGTTTAGAGTTATATCTCAGACGTGTGAACTTAAAGCTCAAAATATCTCAGAGTTCGAATTTTTGAAAGGCACAAGAAGAAGAAACTAAACTGGCCAGGTTTAAGAGAGGTGTAGCATGCCACACAACCTATTTTTGTCTGTCTTTATTTTTGTACCACTCTGCTTTCCATATAAGAAAAGAGATCCTCGGCAGATGTGAAAAAAAGAAAGCAAGATTTTGAAACAATTTTTTTTTTTTACTAATTAAAGGTATTTTGAAAATAGTCCCTTGCATTCTTCAGAAGGATTAGCAGCAATATTTTGTGTTGGGTAAAAAAAGAACAGTTTCTCTTCTAAAATGTCTAATGTAGAGGATAGGTGGTTACTAAATGTATTTTCATACAAATGTTAAAACTTCTTGATTATGTTTCAAATCTTTTGGAATTGTAGAAGAGCCAAAAGTACCAGCTATGACAAGATTTTGAATTTTGGCCTATACTATACCAACCACATACTATACCACCTTATCTAGAAGAGTGACATTTTTTAACTTACTGCTTCTAAATGATTTTCTTTTTTTCACTTTAAATCAGAAGTAGGAAAGTGACTACAAAATTTTATACCATATGAAATACCTTATGGATTTTTTTACAGAATTAGCTTTTATCTACAGGCTTTCCATCTCAAATTCAAATACATCTTGATGAATTAAACTCTTCAAAGAATGTAAAGAGATAATCAATAATAGCAAGTTATAGCACAGAGAACTTCTATCATACTGAGGCCTATTTTTTAAAAAATCTAAACTTACAACTGGCCTAAAGTAGGTCCTTGATTCAGTCATGAAACATTCTCCAATTTACCTTCAACATAAGAGCAGTGGAAGAGATTTGAAATTGGAGGTCAATGCACTGATCATTTTCTTAACTCTGACTGGCTGAGAGGTTCCCCAGTGTCTGGACAATATCAAGGAATATCTGTTACATGCAGGAATGTTGCCCAAAGGTCAAGCCACAAACTTTTACTGAGTTTCTTGGGATGACATTGGACTTGGAATATCTACTCTTCTGTGCTATGTGGCTGTAGGCAATAATAATTTGTTCTTTGACTATGAAGAAAATACTATCAGAACTATTTTTCAAAAAACAGAAAATGTAGAAGAAACAGCTGCCTTCAGGGAAATGGAGTTAGGATGCTCTACCTCAAGTCCTCAGTACAATGTATTTTGGAATGAGACATTCAAATTCTCAGCTGACATCCCAGATTGCTGCTTACTCTATTCCTGTCCATCTCTTTCAAAGCATATAATGCTTTCCTTGTATCTGGCAGGTAGGAAATATTAGGGCTTGAGATAAGCAATACATTTTCTTGTAACCAAAACTGTCCTCCTGCGACTGCTTCTTTCAAAGAAGCAATATACTATGACAGAAAAATATGATTCATTTTCCAAAAATGTGTTTATAAGCAACTTTTCAGGAACATAGCTCTTTTGCTGAGGCAGGAACATCTGTATTTACAATACAGAACTGAAACACCTACATGTTTTTCTGTATAACAGAGCATGCTTCTCTTGGCTGAAACAACGTTTTATCTTTGTACTTGAGCAGGAATTTATAAATAGGTCACTCTTGGTATTTTAGCCATAAGCACATTTAGCCATTAGTTTTGTTTTAGGGAAAACAGTGAAGTTTTAACAGCATAAAATACCATGCTCTTTCTACTTTTGCACATGCACAGATAGTTACCATCTGAAGTCTTCTTTAATTCAGTTTTCAGTTTTTCCTGTTCTTCTACTAGTTTTTTATTTTCTGCTTCCAAAATGTGTTCCTCTTCCTTGCCATAGCTTTTCAAGAGCTATCAGAAAAGAGAGTTATAGAAAGAAGTAAGGTTAGATTGCAAGAGCCAGACATTCTTCCAGGAAACAGGCTGGATAACATATTTAAAATTATGTCTTTATTTTATTCTTTGTCTTTTTTAGTCTTTTATAATTTTCTACAATGTACTTTTGCTAACAAAAACTTGATATTTGGCAAACACACAATAAAGATTTCTTCTTATTATGGTTGAAATCTCTGAAATGAAAATAACAGGAGTTTCTGATGCTATGATTAAAATTATAATTTCAAACGTGTTTAGGTAAATAGTGAGAATGTCTTTTCCTCTATTAAGTGTGTGATGTAAATCCAAGGAAAAAAACAGTTCTGAGAATGATATTAATTGGAAAACCATTGTTTCAATTGCAGAGGTGTCTACTCAGACTACTTTTATATAGATGAATTTTTTTTTTAAAGATTTTATTTATTTATTTTTTTCCCCCCAAAGCCCCAGTAGATTGTTGTATGTCATAGTTGCACATCCTTCTAGTTGCTGTATGTGGGACGCGGCCTCAGCATGGCCAGAGAAGCAGTGCGTCGGTGCGCACCCGGGATCTGAACATGGGCCGCCAGCAGCGGAGCGTGCGCACTTAACCGCTAAGCCACGGGGCCGGCCCTATATAGACGAATTTGTAAGAGAAGAATATAATGTTTTCAGGGTGAAGACGGGTAAGGAAAAAATGACAGGGTCATCTCTACACTTAGAAAATTCTAATTTTCACTGAATAGTTTCTAAATACTTTTATTCAGTTAATCCTTTACCAGTGCTCTTTATACTTTAAAATCTATTCTGGCTTTTAAAATGTTTATTTTATGTTTGTAGCTTATCTTTTCTAGGCAAGAAAAATTAAGATCTGAATAGTAAAATATTTGACTAAAATAAAAACATCATGCAGTAAAAATTTCATAATCTGTATGTCTGGATAGAAACCATCACTGTTCATAGAATTAAGAAGCTGACTTTCCTTGAAGAAATTTTAAGGAATTTAAGTTACCAAGAAAAGCAAATTAGATTAATGTTTGAAAAATAAAATATGTACACACTGGCATGAGTTATTTGACTAAATTAAACGGCAGCAAGTTGATAATAGCTTCCACAGTTAGGTAAAAAGGCAACTCAGGACAATTTTAAACAGACTGACGTAGAAAAGAATTTCTTCTGCATGGTGATTCCTTTTCTAACGTAAGCTGTTATATTCAACAAACAAAACTCACAACATTGCCACACGCAATTATTTTTAAAACTCACAGCATTGACCACACGCAAATATTTTATAATGCTAGGTGCTACAAGGGGTAAAAATATAAGAGAAACACGGTCTCTGCTCTTAGGTAACTTCAATCTAGTGGAAAGGATGAGAAAGGAGCCTAAAAATTGTAGCACAAGATCAAATACAGCACCACTGTGTTACAGCAGAGATTAGGCAGCTCAGAAGGGGGAACTAAAGCTGAACATATTATATTATCCTAAGAAATTTTTTTAGGAGATAGAGGACTGAAGTACATATTAAAACTAAAGGAGTCTCATATCTTCAAAATTTAAAAAAAATAAAAATTTTTTAAAGAGCAGAAACAAGAAAAAAATTTCTCCAAATCTCTATAAACTTGTTGCCCACTTCAAGTCCAAAACAATCCTAGCTGTTACTTCACTGAATTCACAGTCTCCAGTGATTACCCAAATTGGCAGAGAACCACTGAGTTGCAGGAATGTTTACACTGACTGCTTGAATTATTACACCATTGACTTGGAAAAGCTGGATTTGTGTCAGTCTTGTAAATAAACTTTCATTACTGCACCTGTAAACTCGTCCAAACTTATTATATGTAACTTGATGCTGGAGAAAGACCAAGAGCCCTGGAATCGGAAATTCAATAGGTATTAGCTACAATGATGCCTATGTTCACTGTTGCACCCACCTCATCTCACCTTGGTTAAGTGGCTGAAAAAAAACTAGTCAGAAGTAAAGCTCCAACACTGTTGTTATTTTAAAGCAGTTAAATTAAAATTTAATTGGTCTTTCATAATTATTTAATTTCATTAACTGAATATCAGAACAGAAAGGGGTCTTAGGCACTATCTGCAAGTCATTTTATAGACTAGCTCAGGAGCGAAGGGCACAAAGCAACAAGGTTAAGAGTATGGATTCTAGTGTGAGGCTGCATGAATTCAAATCTTAGTTCTGTCACTGATTAGCTTAATAATTTTGTACAAGTCACTTAAGCTTTCTGTGCTTCCATTTCCTCATCTATAAAATGCAGATAATAACAGTACCAACCTCATGGGATTATTTCGAGAATAAAAGAGTTAATACCTTACTGTGAAGCATATGAAGCAATACCTGGCACAGGGTTAGCTATTATTCATAACCTTGAGGCCCAGAACATATGAGGTGACTTGCCCAGGTCACAATGCTAATTATTGGTAGCGTTGGGACTAGCACCCAAGTTTCTTGGATCTCAGGGTAATGTGCTTTCCATTAGATAACGCGTCTCTGATAGAGAATGAAGAGGCGTTTTAGCAATTTTATCCTTCCTTAGCTAGTATTTTAAAACCTACATGAAGTATCCTAAAATAGAAGTCATTTGACATTTTGGCCTATGGCCTTTATTGGTCAGCTAGTTACACTTTGGGCACTGACAATATTTATGTCCAGCTCAGACTTTCTACCCACTGTGTACTGGCTCTGGCCCAGCATATCTGTGCACCTCTGAGGATCTAGGGCCACTGAATGAGTCACAAATATGCAGGAAGCAGGGAATCAGGACAGCATGGAACCAAAAGGGAGGAAAACAAAAAAGGGAGAAATTGTGGGGGATCAAAGAATCAGTAGTCATGAAATAAATTTCCTTGCATGGGCAACTGGTTCTGAAAACAATTCCAAAAGAAAAATTCCAAAAATGTGTTGAGGAAGGTGCTTTTTTTGTTTTTTTTGTGAGGAGATCAGCCCTGTGCTAACATCTGCCAATCCTCCTCTTTTTTGCTGAGGAAGACTGGCCCTGGGCTAACATCCGTGCCCATCTTCCTCCACTTTATATGGGACGCTGCCACAGCATGGCTTGCCAAGCAGTGTGTCGCTGCGCGCCCGGGATCCGAACCGGTGAACCCAGGGCCGCTGCAGCAGAGCGCGCACACACAACTGCTTGCGCCACCGGGCCGGCCCAAGGAAGGTGCTTTTTTTGAAGGACAAGACTAATTTAAGTACATTAATTATGGTGTATACGAGAAGAATAGTACTAAAATCTTAACAAAAATGCTTTCCATTTTCACAGAGCTGATAAGAGGAAAACAACTAAAGAATAAGAGGAAAAAAGCAGTATTCTACAGATAGTTACAACTCATTACTCTAACATGATAGTCATAATTTTATTTATTTAAGGTTCACATTGGTTTATAACGTTATGTAAATTTTAGGTGTACATCATCATTTTTCTACTTCTCTATAGACTACATCGTGTTCACCACCAAGTCTAGTTGCCATCCATCATCATACATGTGTGCCCCTTTATCCCTTTGCCCTCCTCCCACCTCCTTCTGCTCTGGTAACCACTAATCTGTTCTCCATATTTATGCGTTTGTTTGGAGTGAAGTCATACGGTAATTGTCTTTCTCTATTTGACTTATTTCACTTAGCATAATACCCTCAAAGTCTATCCATGTTGTCACAAATGGCAAGATTTCGTCTTTTTTATGGCTGAGTAGTATTCCACTGTGTGCATGCGTGTGTGTGTGTGTGTATACCACATCTTCTTTATCCATTCATCCATTGATGGGCACTTAGGTTGCTTCTGAGTCTTGGCTATTGTGAATAATGCTGCAATGAACACAGCGGTACATGGATCTTTTCAAATTAGTGTTTTTATGTTCCTTGGATAAATACCCAGAAATGGAATAGCTGGATCATACGGTATTTCTATTTTTAAGTGTTTGAAGAATCTCCATACTGATTTCCATAGTGGCTGCACCACTTTGCAGTCCCACCAGCAGTGTATGAGGGTTACTTTCTCTCCACATCCTCTTCCACACTTGTTATTTGCTGTCTTTTTACTAACAGCCATTCTGACGGGTATGGATGAGGTGATATCTCATTCTAGTTTTGATTTTCATTTCCCTAATAATTAGCGATGCTGAACATCTTTTCATGTGCCTGTTGGCCACCTGTATATCTTCTTTGGAAAAATGTCTGTTCAGATCATCTTTTTTTTTTTTTTCCTCAGGACAATTCACCCTGAGCTAACAACTGTTGCCAATCTTCCTATTTAGTATGTCAGCCTCGACCACAGCATGGCCACTGACGAGTGGTGTAGGTCCGCACCTGGGAACCGAACCCAGGCCACCGAAGTGGAGCACGCCAAACTTAACCACTAGGCCACCAGGGCTGGACCTTCTGCCCATTTTTTGATGGGGTTGTTTTTCCTGTTGAGTTGTATGAGTTCCTTATATATTCCATATATATTTTATCCCTTTATCAGATATATGATTTGCAAATATCTTTTCCCAATTGGTAGGTTGCCTTTTTTTCTTTTTTTTGAGGAAGATTGGCCATGCGCTAACATCGGTTGCCAAACTTCCTCTTTTTCTTTTTTCTCCCCAGAGCCCCAGTACATAGATGTGTATCATAGTTGCAGAGTTGTAGCTCTTCTATGTGGGACACTGCCTCAGGATGCCTGATGGGCAGTGAGTAGGTCTGTGCCCAGGATCCGAACCAGCAAACCCCAGGCCGCTGAAGTAGAATGAGTGAACTTAACTGCTATGCCACCAGGTCGGCCCTAGTAGGTTGTCTTTTTGTTTTGCTGATGGCTTCCTTTGCTGTGCAGAAGCTTTTTAGTTTGATGTAGTCCCATTTGTTTATTTTTTCTTTTGTTTCCCTTGCCTGAGGAGATATCTTCAAAAAGATAAGACTGATATAAAAGAGCATAGTGCCTGGAACAACAAAAGATCCCGAATAGCTAAAGGAATCCTGAGAAAAAAGAACAAAGCTG